ATATAATAAAATTATTATAATTTATATATATAGATCTCCAAGAAATTAAACTAATTAGAAGAAATAATATTAGGTATATTCTACTAGTTCTAGATAATTATTTTAGATGCCTTTTTATATAATATTTAAAGGCAAAAAGTAAATCTTTAAAGATATTAAAGGAAATATATAATAATTAACTAAATATAACTAGTATCTATATTAGAAGGGTTAGATTTAACTCTACTCCTGAATTTAATAAATATACTAGGTAGAATAAGGATTTTAGTACTATATATAAACTAATACTACCACAAACCTTTAAGAAAAATAGTATTATTGAATAGTTTAGTAGCTATATAATCTAGACTGCCTGCATAATATATATACAAGTAAAAATAGAACTAATTATATGGCTATATAGTATAGATATAGTAGTCTATATTTTAAATAGGTTAGTTAGGAAAGATAATAATAAAGGAAAGCTATTTATATAACTTTTTTATAAAGGATTAAATATTCTAATTAGAGATATTAATCTATAATATATTTATTTATAGGGATATAAGGTATTTATAAATATCTTATATAAGAATAGGGTTAAAAGTATAAAAATATTGCCTAGAGTAAAAATTAGTTAACTAGTTAGATATAATAGAGATTATATCTATAAGATATAGTATCTAGATATAAGGAAGATAATTTAATTAAGGAATATAATATTTAATAAAGATAATATTAATAGAATAGATAAAATATAACTATAACTTCCTAATAAATTAAAATTAAATAATAATAATCTATCTAGAGTAACTATATTTATTAATACTAAAAGGGAAAGAATAACTTATAATAGTATATCTTAAAATAATATTATTCTCTAAACCTTATTATTAGTAAATAATAATAAGGTTATTATAGGAAGAATTTAAATATTAATACCTAATCTAGCCCTACCCGAACTAAGCCTACCTGACCCAGAGGCAGGTATTGAACTTATCATACTAGAGCAGACACCTGCCTCTGGGCCTGCCTCCAGGGCTGTTTCTGAAACCATCACCAAGTAAAATAATCAAGCGATTAGTAAGGATATAGAGGAGATAATAAGATCTAGTATAGAGGAATAATCTAGGTAGGGTAGATATAAAAAAATAATTAATTATTTTACTATAAATAATTTATATACTAGTTAATCTATTTTTAAAAGAATACTAGTATTATAACTAATATAAAGACTTCTAGAGTTATTTTCTTAATATAGGGAGATTTTACTAGTTTTAGAATCTTTTAAAGATAACTATACTCTAATAATTTTAGATATATTAAAAAGGAAGTATTTAAAGATTAGAAAATAGGTTAAATTTAATATTAAGAATATAGAAATAATTAATCTAGTAAAGATATAGAATCCTACTAATAATAATACTAGTAATAGTATTATTACTTTATAGAGATCTTTAAGATTTATAAAGGATTAATACTAAAGTATTTACTTTAAAGATAAGTAAGTAAAGTAATTATAAGAAGAGGAAGTAAAATAGGAATAATAATCTTAATTCTAGTTTATATTATCTCTAAAAATACTTCTAGAAATATTTTATCTACTAGAATCTTATTTAAAGTTAGAAGAATTACCTAATATAATTACTATAATATTACTAGATTCTAGTAATTTTATACTAGAGATCAAGCCTATAAAGACTTATAAAGTTAGAATCCTATAAACCTATACTTAAGTAATAAAGTTATTATAAAAGGATTACTAAATATAAGTAATATAAAATTAAATTAGCAAGCTTAAAATTATTTAAACTTATAAATTTATATTATTATTAAAAGATATAAAGATTTTACTAGAAAAATAAGTATATAATTTAAAGTTAGATATAAATAATAATATATTATAATTTTATATAAGATAGGTTATATATAGAAATTTCTAAAAATTAAATATAGACTTTAACTAAGTCTACTTCCTAGTAATAATAGATACTTTAATAAAGCTATTTTTAAGTATAGTTACTTATTTTAATTTAAAATAGGCATAATTTAATATAGTAACTACCTATCTTAATATAATAATTAAGGATTAAAAGATCTATATATATTAATTAATTAGTTTTAATAAGTAAGATAGTATAGTATATTTATTATTCTAAGCCTTATATAGATTATAATAATTAGTATTTCTTTAATATAAGAAATTCTATAATATTCTAGTAAAAATTAGTATAAAAGTAATTAATAAAGACCTATACTTTTATTATAATCTAGACTAGTAACTAATATTTATTATCTATATTAATAATATAATAATTACTAGCCCTAATAAAGTAAATATTTAATAATTTATAGATAAGTTAGAAAAATATTTTAAATTAAAGTAACTAGATAAACCTATATAGTTCTTAAGATATAATATTTATAGACTACTTAATAATCTAATATTAATATCTTAATATATATATATCTAAAAGATACTTTATAAATAGAATTTCTATAATCTTTAGTTATATTATATACTAATAACTCTAGGATAGAAATTAACTAGAGAGATACTAGATACTAGTAGTATTATTCTAGATACTATATATATTTTTATAGGTAAAGATAATATTACTTATTACTAAGAATTAACTAGATCTTTAAATTAGATTACTATTCAGACCTAACTAGATATTTAATATATAATAATATAACTACTATAGAAGAATTATAATTCTAGTAAGTTAGATTATAATATAATTAAATAAGTTTTCTAATATTTAAAAAAAATCTTAAACTATATAATAGTTTTAAGTTATTTAAATAATTTATTATATATATATATTAATGCCTCTTATATAGATTATAAAGATAAGAAATTAATAAAAGATTTTATATTTTTTATATTTAGAGTACTAATTATATAGAGATTAGTAAAGTAATTACTAGTTATTTTAAGTTTAATTATTACTAAATTTATTATATAAAATATAATAATAAAGCTAGCTATATAATTATAAAAGCTATATATAATTATTAGACTAGAAAAGTCTATAAAAAGTATTATATTTTTATATATTAATTCTATAAATATTATTATTTTAATAAAGAAGCTAAATTATATATTTATACTCTATTAAATAGATATTTACTACTTCTTTATAAAAGAAATAATTAAAAATAATAGAATTTAGTTATAAATAGTTAGTAGAAAGGATAATATTACTAACAGGCTAATTAAGGTACTACTAACTACAAAATTTAATAAATTTATTAAGAGGTTAGATTTTAGCAGGTTAGAGATAGACTCTAAATAGCTTCATAAAATAAATATATTACTAAGGGGGGTGTATTAGAGTGCTACACTCAGTAAATATAACTAGCACCACCATAAAGTAGATAGCAACATGTAACTACCTAGTGTATTTAAGCCACCATTTCCTTCTAGATCTCCATGCTTCTTCCAAGCATCTCTCTATCTCCTAGTTAGACCCAATTTGAACCCATTTCGGTCAACTTTCTACCGTCATAGTTTGGCGACCTCTCATCATATATTATATCTATTTAGATAGATAGGTAGATAAATATGCTTACTAGCTTAGCATGCCTCTATACCCCTAGGAAGGTCAGGAGCCTTAGGCTCACGCCTGAGGATACCACGTGATATTAAGCAATACAACAATAACAATAACAACATGATGCTTCTTATACTGGTGACATGATATTTAATAAATAATTATTGCCACCCTTACTGACTACATTCATAACACATTTTTGGTTACAGATAGTAATTTTATTTGCAATTCCTACACTGCGCACTTTTGTCAACCAAATTTGACCTATGGTATTTAACATTATCTAGAGTATTTACAATAGCAAAGATCAAATACTTCATGGCCACCTCCTTGTCATGGACCTTATTAATACTGGCACGCTTCTTCGAGGAAGAACCCCGCAAAATAATCATGATCTCATAGTGTGCGAACATACCCCAGGATATCGAGAGGAATATATTTGGAATGTAGAATATGATCTGAGTAGTTGTTTGGCCAGAAGGCAAGGTGAGGTATAAGGCACCTGGGAGAATACTATGGAAGACCACACGCAGCATTTGTCCTTGATTAACATGATCAGTAGCTATTGCAAGAACTAGCTCTCAGACCTGAATGGTTGTTATTAAAATGAAAAAGGAAAATAAACAAAAGACAGAATAGAAGGAGAGAGCAAATATAATATGGAGAAATGAAATCAGCAAAACTAGTTAGAGTAGTGCGCCCTGAAGCAAAAGTAAAGAGGGAGTATTAGAGGGAGTATCATTTATCTACTGCAAACCTGCTTCAGACATCAAATCATGTAATAGCTTTTTTTGGACTCGCTCTTTATTGCCCTCTAGGATATACAACTATTGTATATGCCCCTCTCTGCACATGATGATTGAATGGTGAATAGGGCAATTTTGCTTAGAAGATACCTAGTAAGGCCCAGGCTAACCCATATTTTCACTAATTGCCATTGCCCCTGGACTTCTTCGCTTTTGGAATATGAACCAGATAGTAGATGAGTTTAAAAACGTTCAAGCCTGGCAGCGTCATAAATCAGCATATCATAGCTCCCCTATTTTAGCTTCAGTTCTCACTCCTGAACCTACGGAGCTGAACATTTATTCCGTTACTTAGTGTCTTTTTAGCGGGATGAGAGTCAATGGAATAGTGGAGATAGCAAGTACCTGAATTTAAGTTGCTTTGTGCTTCCTGACTAGGGTAACATTGTGTAACCTGCTGTCTCGGGCATTTTTAGCCTAACACAATCCATGACTGGGACTCTGCTGCGTGAATGGAACCTGAGAGTAGATAGATCCCCTTAGAAAGTTTTATTTTACACCCATGTACATAACCAAAGACAATAATATGTCCCATGCCCCTGTTCCTGCTGCCTGTTCTCCCTTGGGTGCTTCTATTACTTAGCGTTTACTAAATATTTCAATCCACCACTTACTTCTTTGTTCCTTGATGTTTGTTTTCTGAATTATTCTAAAGATGCAAAGGCTATGGACTTCCGTAGCAGCCCTACTAGTGTATTCAGCAAGGGCCCAGCAACTTGTTGGCACTCAGATGTTTGTGGACTACTTAGAACTAAGTGACAACTACAAAGATACCCTAGCTACTAATATTACTTGTCTGCCATTCCTTATTGTCATATCTCAAACATGAGTAGGGAGGTTAGTTAGGGTTTTATTTAATACTAATGTGATTCAGCAACCGCCTTTTGGACGAGGATGAAGTCTCTCCACGGCGTACAGCTACTGCGTCAAAAAGTACAAGAACAGCACTGGTGGGTACTATGCTAGCCTTAGGATTAGGACACATTAAGACTGACCGCAATATAGTGACGGAGAACACCAGCAACTGCATGTCCATTGAGGCAACAGAGGCTGGCACTGCCTCAAACTGCAACTGTTTTACTTTTGTTAGCACCAATGATTATGGAGGTACTTGACCTATTCATCCAAAGAAATTTTCTTTCTGACCTCGTCAACTAGACTACACATGTGACAATATCCTTGACACCTATGATATCTCATTGAGCCAGCTCCTAGCTTGGAACACTTGATTAGCAGAAGGGGACTGTGATACTGCCCTCTTTGCTAACCTCGGCACCCTTCAAGACCACTTCGTGTGTGTTGGTGCGGGCTCCATGAGCGTGACCCCAACATCTACCCCCACTGGATCTGGATCTGGATCGGCTACCCTAAGCACATCCTCTATGGGGCCTACTCGGACAGAAGTGGTGTCAGGATGTCGGCTCTTCCATGCTGTCCAAAACGGTAATACCTGCCTGTTGATCGAGAGAAAATACGGCATCATAGCTGCTCAATTCTATAAGTGGAACCCTACTATCGGCAGCACTTGTACCAATATGCGGTTGGGCTACGCATACTGCGTGAAAGGACCGGTCTCGTCCACCATAACCTCAGGCCCCAGCGATCCCACGCAGACGGGAATCATATCTAACTCCAATGAGTACCCTCTGTCGTGACCAGTGATTCCTGTGCTTAGATTGAGAAGATGTATGGGCTTACCTTTGGGCAACCGTACGCGTGGAATCCTTCAATTGGGTTAAGCTGACGCTTTGCAAATCGGCTATTCTCTGTGTGGGGGTATTGCTCCTTAGATTTCAGGTTAGCTTTGATAGATCTGAGTTCTAAATACTGTAGAGTACATTACAACGTTAGTACTACACAGAGGTCATTGATAATAGCTAACTAGTTAGGGCTTCCCCTTCCCATGACCTGCCTAGGGTTCCCGCACTATATATCAATATCCCAGTCACTCTGGGGTATGGGTGGCTTCGCGAATATTCGAATCGGTCTTGTTCGTCACATATCCATGACTGGCAACATGGGTTCCTTTGGCAACCATTTCCTCGTTCTTGAAGCACAGAGTCAAATGCTCTCTGCATGGACCAGAGGAGACGTCCTAATATACATATAGCCGGAACTAGCGCTCTTCAATTGCTCAGTTAGGGAAATTCCCTTCCTCATTCATTGTCCACGTTTCAAGATGAACCATACTATCATTTGATAGTTTCTTTGCCAGGGTTAACAGGTGTGTCGCCCCTATTCTCCGAACATGATTTGCGATAATTTGTGTCCATGCTCCCGAAGACTGCTAAAGTCTAAGGAATGAGTGGTTCAGAGTCTCCAAAACAGAAAGAATCTAGGGCTTGGCAACTCGAGTATAGGTACCTACGCAAACAGAGAGGTTGACTCTGACTTTAATTCTACTGGAAGGTTGTTCCCGAGGTCCCTCGTCGAACCTTTATTATTTCGGCCCCTGATTGGCTATAAATGTTGAAACGTGATCACATCCCTTTTTGGCTTAGCTCCATTGATTTGGCCCTCCAGTCCAATACAGAGTAGACAAGCATCCACTGCTTCACAATAAATACTCAGTAAAATTATCCAACTTGGCGAAGTTCCTAATTTATGATACCTTGGGAAGGCGGTACTGGTAAAGAAATTCCCTGGAATCCACCCCATCACTTACCTTTCCGACAAGGCTGCACTCACCTCTTCCAACTTTCTTAGCGTCATGTCCAATTGTGCTAGCTACCCTCTTTTGCAATTACTGAGGACCAGGTCGTTCGTGCCCATGCAGTGTTATCGACAGAAACAGAGACAGCAGCCTTTTTTACTTATCTACAAGAGAAGCATGGCGACTTGCATTGAGCCAAGCAGAGTGAAGTATAAATTCGTGGAGGAAGTCGAGCGCTTGGACTATTATGTCCCAGGAGGCTATCACCCCGTGATGCTCGGTGATCAATTCTGCTCCGGTCGATACAAAATTGTTCACAAACTCGGCTTCGGCCGCTCTGCCACAACTTGGTTAGCAGAGGATACAGATAAAGGTCGCCTCGTTGCCATCAAAATCTCCACAGCCGAGTCAGCCGACCAAACTCACGAAATGCAGATCCTTTCGCGATTAGCGAAGGCTGAATCCAACCTCCCCGGAAAAGCTATCGTCCAGAACCTCCTTGATTCTTTCAAAATCTCTGGACCAAATGGCACTCATCGGTGTTTAGTTACTGACACCGCAAGACTCAATATTAATGAGGTGAAAGAGTACCCGTATCATCGACTTCTTCGTCTTCCAGCGGCGCGAGCTATCGCTACACAGCTTGTTCTTGGGGTGCAATTCACACATTCTCAAGGGATTGTTCATGGGGGTACGTTGAACTATCCCAAGTAACTTTCTTTAACTGAGATACCTACAGACCTTCACCTTTCAAATATCCTTCTTCAATTGCCACCCTGCATGAGAAACGTGACACCTGAGCAGCTACTTGCTAGAACTGGCGAACCAGCGAAAGAGCTCGTTGTCCGCGAGGATGGCGCTCCTCTTGACCCTGGAGTTCCTCCTGAGCTTGTTATCCCGATATGGCTAGGCATTGATAGTGATAAGGTGACCCTAGGAGATGCCCTGATCAAGATTGCAGATTTTGGGGAAGCCTTCAACCCTCGAGAAACAAAACAGTACGCTTGCCATACACCTCTCTTGCTTGCACCACCAGAATCCCGCTTTGCCGATGCGGGAAATTTAGATAAGCCTCTTTCTTTCCCAGCTGATATCTGGACATTAGCATGTACTATGTGGGATATCTTTGGATGTAGACCTCCATTTGAGTCCTTTCCAGTCTCGCAAGATACGGTTACAATGGAGCATGTCGAGATGCTTGGGAAACTTCCTAATCGGTGGTGGAATGAGTGGGAAGAAAGGAGCAATTGGTTTGATGAAGATGGCCGTAAGAATGTGAAGCAGAACCTCCGTCAGTGGTATGGGAATACACACCGAGATTGGGATATGCGGTTCGCCGAATACATACGACAACCACGGGAAAGACATGGATTTGATTTATTTACAGCAGAGGAGGAGATGGCTTTCCGTGGCATGATAAAGTTGATGTTGGTTCTTGAGCCGAGCAAACGTGCTACGATCGATGAAGTTGTTGAATGTGACTGGATGCAACAATGGGGATTGCCTGAGTAGCGGAGAATGGAAGATGTCATTGGCATGAGCTCTTAGGCAGGCAGGCTTCGGAAATATTCCTGTTCTTCCCATAATAGAGATAGCTACGAAATCGACTGCAAGAAGCAGAAGAGTAAAACAATAAGCTCTGGGATCATGTGGCAAACATGCCCAAGCTTAAGGCTTTGTCTCTGCCTTTATGCTCGTAAGAGAGGACCGAAATGGGCCAATTCCATATCTTCAAGTTATGATCCCTGTATACAATAGAAAACGCAAATGGGAACAGGAAGAACAAGAGATGGCCACAGACTTTAAGGATAACTTGGAGTCTGGAGATTACGTGCTCTTACTTTAAGAGGTCCCAAAAGTCAAAGTTAGACATCGTCAAGTATGGAACTACATGATAAGAAAACGTGCTAGAGATCGTATTATTTGATCCCCTTAATTCAAGGTGGTTACCTGAAAACTAATAGCTATATATCTAGTCTACTAGATAGTAAGGTTGGCTTTAATGCATCTATTCAAGCAATCCAAGACTAGTTGTATTATCAAGGACGTACTTTTGCCCTTTATTATTATTATTAGTTAAAATAGGCATAAGATGCACGGGAAGGCGATTTAAGCATGTATTTAATTAAATATAGTCTCGGGCATAGAGAAGAATCTAACAGTAACTAGAACCATTATCTCTCATTCCCAGGCCCTAAAACTCCAAATTATCAAACACAAATCGGAATAAAGTGCCTTCCAGCGGCCAAGGATCAATAATTTCCTCCACGCTTGCTGGCCCGTTATCAACCCATTAGAAAAGCGGAAATATACATAATACTATATTCCCAGGAAGACGGGTACCAGCCAGCTGTTTCCCAATCGATGATAGCAGCAATTGTGTACTCCTTAACTCCAGAATTTGGATTACTGACTTTGCTGATAAGGATATTTTCTCTGTATAGGTCCCTATGAGTAAATGTCGGCGGATGGCCACTAAGAGCCAGCGGAAGGTGTCGAGTCAGAAAGTCAGAAGTCCAACCATGTTTGCCTCTGTAGTCCCACTTATGTCTGGGCCGAAGAGCAATGGCTTTACTTAAATCTTCTCCTTTGAGGAAAGGGCCAGTAATCGCAGGATTTCCATCTCGCGAGAGGAAGTATTGGTGTGGAACAGGCCCTTGTATAATACTACTGTAAAATACAGGGGAAGGGAGCGACCTCATGTCTGTGAAAATTAATTGAAGCTGGGCTAGGACTGCGCTTTTGTGGTGCTCTGAAAGTGAAGGCCATAGGCTGCCCAAGGTAACACCAGGGACATATTCTGATGAAGGTTGTCAAATGATGACAGTAGAAAGTTGACCGAAATAGGTTCAATTGGGTCTAACTAGGAGATAGAGAGAAATGAAGAAGATGCTTGGAAGAAATATGGAGATCTAGAAGGAAATAGTGGCCTAAATATATAAAGTAGTCACATATTACTATCTACTTTATAGTGGTGCTGCTTTATAATAGTACTAGTTATATTTATTAAGTATAGTACTCTAATATACCCCTCTTAGTAATATATTTATTATATAAAGTTATTTAGAGTCTATTTTTAACTTACTAAAATTTAATTTTTTAATAAATTTATTAAATTTTATAATTAATAATACTTTAATTAATTTATTTATAATATTATTTTCTTTATTAACTATTTATAATTAAATTTTATTATTTTTAATTATTTTTTTAATAAAAAAGTAATAAATATTTATTTAATAAAGTATAAATATATAATTTAACTTTTTTATTAATATAATAATATTTATAAAATTAATATATAAAAATATAATATTTTTTATAAATTTTTTTAATTTAATAATTATATATAATTTTTATAATTATATAGCTAGTTTTATTATTATATCTTATATAATAAATTTAATAATAATTAAATTTAAAGTAATTAATAATTATTTTACTAATTTTTATATAATTAGTACTCTAAATATAAAAAATATAAAATTTTTTATTAATTTTTTATTTTTATAATTTATATAGGAGGTATTAATATATATATATAATAAATTATTTAAATAATCTAAGATTATTATATAGTTTAAAATCTTTTTTAAATATTAAAAAACTTATTTAATTATATTATAATTTAATTTATTAAAATTATAATTTCTTTATAATAATTATATTATTATATATTAAATATCTAGTTAAGTCTAAATAGTAATCTAATTTAAAGATCTAATTATGTCATGGTGCGAAGCTGTAGTACCTATCTAGTTAGATTCTGCCTTGACTGTCCGCTCTTATTCCTGTATTTAAGCCATATTATCCTTAATCCTGTTATAGCTCCTTAAGCTACATCCTATTTATTACCTGATATCTACTATTCTGCTATTCTATCTAGTTAGCTTCTAGTTAATAAATATCTAAATCTAACTCTATCTTCTAATATTATATAGCTCCTCTCTACTAGGAGTTAATTATTACTATTATGCCTGCCTTACTACTTATACTACCTAAAGATATAGAAACTCTCCTATATAATACTCTTAATAAATTAAGATAATATATTACTAAGATATACTAGTTCTTTATTACTATTATAAAAAAATTTTATAAATTATTTATTTTATATTTTATTATTATTAATCTTCTTAACTATATTTAGTAGAAAAATAGTATAATTAAGTACTAGAAGATATAAATTAAAGAAATCTAATAAGAGTTATTTAAAATATTTATTTAGAATAATATATTTTCTTAATTATTATTTTTTTTTAAAAGAGATACTAATATTACTACTTTTTTTATTATTACTATTACTCTTATTATATCTATTTCTACTACTTAAATCTTTAAATAACTTCTTAACCTTAATAAATTTAATAACTAATAAAGTAACTTAAGATATTTTATTTCTTAAATTTACTAAAAAATAATTATAAATCTTAATTATTTTCTAATCCTAAATAATAAAATAGCTTATATAACTAGTTATCTTAAAGAAACCTTATATACTTAAATCTTATTATATATTTAAGATAGAATCTATAAATTAAGTAATTATATTAAAATTTTAAAAATCTTAGAGAAAATTTTTAAAAATCTAAATTTAAAAGTTAATATTTATACTAATTTATTTTATCTTTAATAAACTTATTATAAGTTTAATATTTTTTTTACTAAATTTTAATATCTTATATTAAAAGAAAATATAAATAAAGATATCTTATTTATAATTCTAGAATAAATTATTAATTAAGAATTTTAAAAAATATTAATATATTTTAAAGCTCTATTATAATATTATAATTTTATTAATTACTTATAAAATCTAGAAAATTACTACTATTATTATATAAGTATTACCTTACCTCTATCTATAAAAAATTCCTAGCCTCCTTAACCTATCTTAAAGTTAACTCCTACTACCTAAATTCCTATAATTCCTATTAATCCTATTATTACTACTGCTCCTATTAAAGATCTAATAGATCTATCTACTACTTATTACCTTAATTATCAAACCTAATACCTATATTACTACTATAGTAGTACTAACTACCTAGTAAGTAACTATTTATACCCTAACTAAAGACTAACTAGTCATATCTCTATATTTACTACTAAACTAGACTTATACCCCCTATTAACTAGAATCCTACTTACTAAATATCCTATATTCCCTAAATTAGAAAATAGAGTATCTTTAATCTAAGCTATAATTAGGGATACCTCTAGTACTCTCTCTACCTATTAAAGGCTATAATAACTAGAATAATAATAGAGAAAGAAAGTTACTAATTTAAATTAATAATCTTATTTATTAACCTAGAAATTTTTAATAAGATTTTACTAATCTTTATTATAATTAACTCTAGAGCTAAGAATAAATATTTTATAGATTATAATTAGACTATAAATAATTAACTAGAAATACTATTATTAAGGAACTTTATTTTATTAAGGAGATTTAATAATATTCTAATAAAATTTAATAATATTATTTATTTTATTTATTTAATCTAAAGAATTTATAATTATATTAAAAAAAATATTATTTTTTTTATAATTTAATTTATATATTTTCCTATTATTCTTAGCTTATTTTAGTTAAAGACCTATAATTTTTAGATTAAATTTACTAATTATACTATTTTATTTAAAAATTTCTATTATAAAAAATATTATAATATACCTTTAAAGCTTATAAAAATTTTAATATTATATAATATATTATTAAAAGTTTTTTCTTAATATCTTAATTCTTACCTTAAATCTTTAAAAAACTAAAATATTATTAGAGTCTTAGTTACTACCTATACTATATATGCCTGCTATAAATACTAGATATTTATTACTATTATTACTAATATTAAAGTTACTTTAAACCCTATTACTATTATTAAATCTAAGTTATAAGAGTAACTACTCCCTAAGTTTATTAAGTTCTATAATATATTCTTACTAAAGAAGGCTAAGTACCTATTACCTTATTAATCTAATAATTATAAGATTAAACTATTACCTAGAAAAATCCTACCTTTTAGAAGCCTATATAGTATATTTTAAGATAAACTAAAAGTTCTAAAGGAATAGATTAAAAAAAACTTAAGAAAAGATTTTATTTATTCTAGTTTTTTTTCTACTATATTTCCTATTTTATTTATAAAAAAACCTAGAGAAGGCCTATAATTCTATATAGATTACTAAGCCCTAAATATAATTATTATAAAAGATTATTATTTATTACTATTAATAAAAGAGATACTAAATAATTTAAAAGAAATAAAATATTTCTTAAAAATTAATATTATTTTTATTTTTAATAATCTATAGATTAAGAAAGGATAAGAATATCTTACTATTTTTTAAACTTAATTAGGCCTATTTAAATTCTTAATAATATTATTTAGGCTTACTAGAGCTCTAGTATTATTCTAGAGATTTATTAATAAAGCTCTATATAATTATCTAGATATCTTTTATATTATATATCTAGATAATATTTTAATTTATAGCTAAATTTATACTAAATATATTTATTATATCTAATAAATATTAGAATATCTATAAGTAATAGGACTTTATACTAAATTTAGTAAATATAAATTTTTTATATATAAAATAAAGTTTTTAAGATTAATTATAAGTAAAGATAGCTTTTAAATAGATTTTAATAAAGTAAAAATAATTACTAAATAAGAAATATTAATCTATCTAACTAATATTTAAGCCTTTATTAATTTTAGGAACTTTTATTACTAATTTATCTATAATTTTTTAAAAATTATTAGACTATTAGTTAATCTAATTAGAAAAAATATTAATTTTAACTAGATACTTATTTATTAAAAAGTATTTAAATAATTAAAAATTATTTTTATAAATATTCTAATATTAAAATTTTTTAACTAATTAAAAAATATAATTTTAGAAATTAATATCTCTAATTATATATTTACTAAAGTATTATTATAATATAATAATAAAAATATATTATACTTTATTATATTTTTTTTTAGAAAATATTTTATAATAGAATATAATTATAAGATTTATAATAAAGAACTATTAATTATTATTTATTATTTTAAAAAATAATATCTTAAATTAAAAGGGACTTTATTACTTATAAAGATTATTATAGATTACTAGAATCTAGAATATTTTATATTAATTAAGCTATTAAACTATTAATAAGTCTACTAATCTAAATTTTTATTAAGATTTAACTTCTAAATATATTACTACTTTAGAAAGTTAGGTATTAAGCCTAATATACTAACTAGAAGATTAGAGAATCTACTTAAGAAGGGGAATAAATAACTTCTTTACTAGAATTAGATTATCCTAAAATCTAAAAACCTACTACTTAAGATTACTATTAATTTAAGACTAAATATTAATAGCTAATATTAAATATACTTTATTAAATAACTTACTACTAATAAATTAATCTCCCTACTATTAATACTATAACTATTATTTAATAAAGCTTATTTATAAGATAAGAAGTTCTAGTCTATTCTAAATATCTTAAAGAATAATTTATTAAGATATTCTAATATTATACTAGCTAACTATAGATATATTAGTCTATATTTAAGATATTAAGACTAACTTTATATATCTAATTATAATAAGATAAAAGCTAAAATATTAAGATTCTATTATAAAAATCCTGCTACTAGATATTTTAAAAGAATTAAGATATATAAATTAATATTATATAAATATTTCTAGCCTAGAATTTATAAATATATTAATTAATAAATCTAAAATTATTATCTTTATTATTAAATTACCTCTTTTTAAAAAATAAAGTAAAGAGTACTAAAGTCTCTATTAATTCTTAAATATATCTAGTAAGATATAAGTATAGACTTTATTATATACTTATTATTAAGTAATAGTTATAATATTATTCTAGTTATAATTAATTATTTAATAAAAATAAAGTACTTCCTTCCTTATATTAGAATAATTAATACTAAAGAGGTAGCTAATTTATATCTTAAGTATATTTAGAAATTTTATAATATTCCTAAAATAATTATATTAGATTATAAAGTCTAGTTTATTATTATCTTTTAGAAATACTTAATATCCTGCTTAAAGATTTATAATCTATTATTTATTACTTATTACTCTAAAACTAATAATTAAACTAAATATACTAATACTATCTTAGAATAATACTTATAAGTATATATATTATATTTATAAGATAATTAGTCTAAATAATTACTAATAATTAAGTTTATTATTAATTTTATCTACTTTAAGTTTATAGAAATATTACTATTTATAGCTAATTATAAATTCTATTTAATATTAGAATTTAAATTAAGCTACTCTACTATTTACCCTACTAAGAAAGATATTAAGAAATTTATTAATATTATATATAAGATTTATAAATTTATTTATACTAAGATTCTATTTATTTAAGCCTATTATAAAGTATAAATTAATTACTAAAGATAACCTATATATTACTATATTATAAGGTAAGAAGTCTAGCTAGATACCTATAATATCTAAATACTCTACCTATAGAAGAAATTAGACTAGAAGAATTTTAAGCTATATTATATTAAAAAAATTATTAGCCTGTATACTTATAAATTTAAATTATCTAAAAATATAAAAATCTATCTTATATTTAATATATCTTTACTTTACTCTACTATTAATAACCCTCTACTTAATTAATATCCTAATTTACTATTATTTATTAAAGTAGAAGGATTAAAAGAATAGAAAGTTAAAAAAGTCCTTAATTCCTAATAAATTTATTAAGGCTATAACAAATTTAAGCTATAATATACTATTAAATAAATTAAATATAATAAGCTAATAAAAGAGCCTGCTAAATATCTAGAGAATACTTACTAACTAGTAAATAATTATTACCTCTATTATCCTAAGAAACCCTAGCTAATTCCTTCCTAGTCTTAATAAAGCTTGATCCTAAGGAGGGGGGTACTATTATAGTATAAAGCTATAATACCTATTTAATTAGATTCTACCTTAACTATCTACCCTTATTCCTATATTTAAGCTATATTATCCTTAATCCTATTATAACTTCTCAAGCTATGTCCTATCTATTACCTGATACTTACTATTCTGCTGTTCTGTCTGGTTAGCTCCTAGTCAATGAATATCTGAATCTGACTCTGCCCCCTGACAAATTAATTCTTAATAGTAAGTAATATTATCTTTACTAGTAGAGATATATATAATATCTAGAATAATATTATTAGTATTTTAAGTAATACTACTAGTTTCTAGTATCTCTCTAGTTAATTTTTATTCTAGAGTTATTAATATATAATATAGCTAAAGATTATAGAAATTTTATTTATAAAGTATCTTTTAGATATATATATATTAAAATATTAATATTAGATTATTAAGTAATTTATAAATATTATATTCTAAGAATTATATAGGTTTATCTAGTTACTTTAATTTAAAATATTTTTCTAGCTTATCTATAAATTATTAAATATTTATTTTATTAGGGCTAGTAACTATTATATTATTAATATAGATAATAAGTATTAGTTACTAGTCTAGATTATAGTAGAAGTATAGATCTTTTGTCAGGGGGCAGAGTCAGATTTAGATATTCATTGACTAGGAGCTAACCAGACAGAATAGTAGAATAGTAAGTATTAGATAATAGATAGGATATAGCTTAAAGAGTTATAATAAGATTAAGGATAATATAGCTTAAATATAGGAATAAAAATAGATAATTAAGATAAAATTTAACTAGATAAATATTATAACTTTATACTATAATAGTATCTCTTTCTTTAAGATTAAGCTTTATTAAGACTAGGAAGGAATTAACTAGGATTTTTTAAAATAATAGAGATAATAATTATTTATTAATTAATAAATATTTTCTAAATATTTAATAAATTCTTTAATTAACTTATTATATTTAATTTACTTAATAATATATTATAGCTTAGATTTATTATAATCTTAATAAATTTATTAAGAATTAAGAATTTCTTTAATTTTTTATTTTTCTAATCTTTTTATTTTAATAAGTAATAATAGATTAAGATATTAATTAAGTAAAGAATTATTAATAATATTATAAAGTAAAAATATATTAAATATAAGATAAATTCTTATATTTTTAAATAATTTAAATTTATAAATATATAAATTAATAATCTTTTTAATATAATATAGTTTAAAATTTTTCTAATCTAATTTCTTTTATAAATAGAGTATTTAAATATTATAAGTATCTAGTTAGACTTCTTATTTTATAATATAATAATATATAAGTTATTTTTAATAATTAGTTTATACTTTATAATAAGCTTAAATAAATAAAATCTTAATATAAATAAATTTATAAATCTTATATATAATATTAGTAAATTTCTTAGTATTTTTTTTAATAAAGTAAATAATAAAATAACTTAATTTAAATTTTAATATTAAGTAAAATTTATAATTAGTTATAAATAATAATACTTCTATAAATTTAGAGTAAATAGAGTTAGTAGTAAATTTAATTATTAATAATTATTTAGACTAATTATCTTATAAGTATAATATATATATTTATAAGTATTATTTTAAAATAATATTAATATATTTAATTTAATTATTAGTTTTAGAATAATAAATAATAAATAATAAATTATAGATTTTTAGGCAAGATATTAAATATTTTTAAAAAATAATAATAAATTAGACTCTATAATCTAATATAATTATTTTAGGAATACTATAGAATTTCTAGATATATTTAAAGTATAGATTAGCTACTTCTTTAGTATTAATTCTTCTAGTATAAAGGAGGAAGTACTTTATCTTTATTAAATAATTAATTATAACTAGAATAATATTATAATTATTACTTAATAATAAATATATAATAAAGTCTATACTTATATCTTATTAAATATATTTAAGAATTAGTAAAAGCCTTAATATCTTTTACTTTATTTTTTAGAAAGAAATAATTTAATAGTAGAAATAATAATTCTAGACTTATTAATTAATATATTTATAAATCCTAAACTAGAAATATTTATATAATATTAATTTATATATTTTAATTTTTCTAGAATATTTAATAGCAGGATTTTTATAATAAAATGTTAATATTTTAGCTTTTATCTTATTATAATTAGGCATGTAAAGTTAGTCTTAATATCTTAAATATAGACTAATATATTTATAGTTAGCTAGTATAATATTAGGATATCTTAATAAATTATTTTTTAAAATATTTAGAATAAACTAGAACTTCTTATCTTATAAATAAGCTTTATTAAATAATAATTATAATATTAGTAATAAGAAGATTAGTTTATTAGTAATAGGTTATTTAATAAAATATATTTAATATTAATTATTAATATTTAATTTTAGATTAGTAGTAGTCTTAAGTAGCAGGTTTTTAGATTTTAGAATAGTCTAATTTTAGTAAAGGAATTATTTATTTCTCTTCTTAAGTAGGTCTTTTAATCTCTTAATTAGTATATTAGACTTAATATCTAACTTTCTAAAATAATAATATATTTAGAAGTTAAATTTTAATAAAAATTTAAATTAACAGGCTTATTAATAGTTTAGTAGCTTAATTAATATAAAATATTCTAAATTCTAGTAATCTATAATAATCTTTATAAGTAATAAAGTCTTTTCTAATTTAGGATATTATTTTTTAAAATAATAAATAATAATTAATAATTCTTTATTATAAATCTTATAATTATATTTTATTATAGAATATTTTTTAAAGAAAAATATAATAAGATATAATATATTTTTATTATTATATTATAATAATATTCTAGTAAATATATAATTAGAGATATTAATTTCTAGAATTATATTTTTTAACTAGTTAAAAAATTTTAATATTAGGATATTTATAAAAATAGCTTTTAATTATTTAAATATTTCTTAATAAGTAGATATTTAATTAAAGTTAATATTTTTTTTAATTAGATTAATTAATAATCTAATAATTTTTAAAAAATTATAAATAAATTAGTAGTAAAAGTTTCTAAAGTTAATAAAGACTTAAATATTAGTTAAATAGGTTAGTATTTCCTACTTAATAATTATTTTTATTTTATTAAAATCTATTTAAAAGCTATCTTTACCTATAATTAGTCTTAAGAACTTTATCTTATATATAAAGAATTTATATTTATTAAATTTAATATAAAGTTTTATTACTTATAAATATTCTAATATTTATTAAATATAATAAGTATATTTAATATAGATTTAGCTATAAATTAGAATATTATCTAAATATATAATATAAAAAATATCTAAATAATTATATAGAGCTTTATTAATAAATCTCTAGAATAATACTAGGGCTCTAATAAATTTAAATAATATTATTAAGATGTCACGGCGCGAAGCCATAGTACCTATCTAGTTAGATTCTGCCTTAACTATCCACCCTTATTCCTATATTTAAGCCATATTATCCTTAATCTTATTATAGCTCTTTAAGCTATATCCTATCTATTATCTAATACTTACTATTCTACTATTCTATCTAATTAGCTCTTAATTAATAAATATCTAAATCTAACTTTATTTCTTAATATTATATAGCTCCTCTTTACTAGGAGTTAATTATTACTATTATGCCTGCCTTATTACTTATATTACCTAAAGATATAAAAACCCTCCTATATAATACTTCTAATAAATTAAGATAATATATTATTAAGATATACTAATTCTTTACTACTATTATAAAAAAATTTTATAAATTATTTATTTTATATTCTATTATTACTAATCTTTTTAACTATATTTAATAAAAAAATAATATAATTAAGTATTAGAAGATATAAGTTAAAGAAATCTAATAAGAATTATTTAAAATATTTACTTAAAATAATATATCTTCTTAATTACTATTTTTTTTTAAAAAAGATATTAATATTACTACCCCCTTTATTATTATTATTATTCTTATTATATTTATTCTTATTATTTAAATCTTTAAATAACTTTCTAACCTTAATAAGTTTAATAACTAATAAAGTAACTTAAGATACTTTACTTTTTAAATTTATTAAAAAATAATTATAAATCTTAATTATTTTCTAACTCTAAATAGTAAAATAATTTATATAATTAGTTATTTTAAAGAAATCTTATATATCTAAATCTTACTATATATTTAAAATAGAATCTATAAATTAAGTAATTATATTAAGATTTTAGAAATCTTAAAGAAAGCTTTTAGAAATTTAAATCTAGAAGTTAATATTTATATTAATCTATTTTATTTTTAATAAATTTATTATAAATTTAGTATCTTTTTTATTAAATTTTAATATCTTATATTAAAAAAAATATAAATAAAAATATCTTATTTATAATTCTAGAATAAGCTATTAATTAAAAATTTTAAGAAATATTAATATATTTTAAAACTTTATTATAATATTATAATTTTATTAATTACTTATAAAATTTAAAAAATTATTATTATTATTATATAAATACTACTTTATTCTTATCTATAAAAAATTCCTAGCCTTTCTAATCTATTTTAAAATTAATTCCTACTACCTAAATTCTTATAATCTTTATTAATTCTATTATTACTATTATTCTTACTAAAGATCTAATAGACCTATCTACTACTTATTATCTTAATTATTAAATTTAATACCTATATTACTACTATAGTAATATTAACTATCTAGTAAGTAGCTATTTATACTCTAACTAAAGACTAACTAGCTATATTTCTATATTTATTACTAAACTAGACTTATACCTTTTATTAATTAGAATTCTACTTATTAAATACTTTATATTCCCTAAATTAGAAAATAAAGTATCTTTAACTTAAACTATAATTAAGGATATTTCTAGTACTTTCTCTATCTATTAAAGGCTATAATAGCTAGAATAATAGTAAAGAAAAAAAATTACTAATTTAAATTAATAATCTTATTTATTAACCTAGAAATTTTTAATAAAACTTTACTAATCTTTATTATAATTAACTCTAGAACTAAAAATAAATATTTTATAAATTATAATTAAATTATAAATAATTAATTAAAAATATTATTATTAAGAAATTTTATTTTATTAAAGAGATTTAATAATATTTTAATAAAATTTAATTATATTATTTATTTTATTTATTTAATTTAAAAAATTTATAATTATATTAAAAAAAATATTATTTTTTTTATAATCTAATTTATATACTTTTTTATTATTCTTAACTTATTTTAATTAAAGATTTATAATCTCTAGATTAGATTTATTAATTATACTATTTTATTTAAAAATTTTTATTATAAAAAATACTATAATATATTTTTAAAGTTTATAAAAATTTTAATATTATATAATATATTATTAAAAGCTTCTTCCTAATATCTTAACTTCTATTTTAAATCTCTAAAGAATTAAGATATTATTAAAATCTTAATTACTACCTATACTATATATACCTACTATAAATACTAGATATTTATTATTATTATTATTAATATTAAAGCTACTTTAAACCCTATTATTATTACTAAATTTAAATTATAAGAATAATTACTCCCTAAATTTATTAAATTCTATAATATATTTTTATTAAAGAAGATTAAGTACTTACTATCTTATTAATTTAATAATTATAAGATTAAATTACTATCTAGAAAAATCCTATTTTTTAGAAACCTATATAGTATATCCTGAAATAAACTAAAAATTTTAAAAAAATAGATTAAAAAAAATTTAAAAAAAGATTTTATTTATCTTAATTTCTTTCTTATTATATTCCCTATCTTATTTATAAAGAAACCTAGAGGAAACCTATAATTTTATATAAATTATTAAGCTCTAAATATAATTATTATAAAAGATTATTATCTATTACTACTAATAAAAAAGATACTAAATAATTTAAAAAAAATAAGATATTTCTTAAAAATTAATATTATTTCTACTTTTAATAATTTATAAATTAAGAAAGGATAAGAATATCTTACTATTTTCTAAACTTAATTAAGTTTATTTAAATTCTTAATAATACTATTTAGACTTACTAGAGCCCTAATATTATTCTAAAGATTTATTAATAAAATCTTATATAATTATCTAGATATCTTTTATATTATATATTTAGATAATATTCTAATTTATAGCTAAATTTATACTAAATATATTTATTATATCTAATAAGTATTAAAATATCTATAAATAATAAGACTTTATACTAAATTTAGTAAATATAAATTTTTTATATATAAGATAAAGTTCCTAGAATTAATTATAGGTAGAAATAACTTCTAAATAGATCCTAATAAAGTAAAAATAATTATTAAATAAAAAATATTAATTTATCTAATTAATATTTAAGTCTTTATTAGTTTTAGGAACTTTTACTACTAATTTATTTATAATTTTTTAAAAATTATTAGACTATTAATTAACTTAATTAAGAAAAATATTAACTTTAACTAGATACTTATCTATTAAGAAGTATTTAAATAATTAAAAGCTATTTTTATAAATATTCTAATATTAAAATCTTTTAACTAGTTAAAAAATATAATTCTAGAAATTAATATCTTTAATTATATATTTACTAGAGTACTATTATAATATAATAATAAAAGTATATTATATTTTATTATATTTTTTTTTAAGAAATATTCTATAATAAAATATAATTATAAGATTTATAATAAAGAACTATTAATTATTATTTATTATTTTAAAAAATAATACCTTAAACTAGAAGGAACTCTATTACTTATAAAAATTATTATAGATTACTAGAATCTAGAGTATTTTATATTAATTAAGCTATTAAACTATTAATAAGCTTACTAATTTAAATTTCTATTAAAATTTAACTTCTAAATATATTACTATTCTAGGAAATTAGATATTAAACCTAATATACTAATTAGGAGGTTAAAAGATCTATTTAAGAAAGGGAATAAATAATTTCTTTACTAGAGCTAGATTATCCTAAAATTTAAAAATTTATTACCTAAAATTACTATTAATTTAAGATTAAATATTAATAGCTAATATTAAGTATACTTTACTAAATAACCTATTATTAATAAATTAATCTCCTTATTACTAATATTATAATTATTATTTAATAAAGCTTATCTATAAAATAAGAAGCTCTAATTTATTCTAAATATTATAAAAAATAGTTTATTAAGATACCTTAATATTATACTAGCTAATTATAAATATACTAATTTATATTTAAAATATTAAAATTAACTTTATATACTTAATTATAATAAGATAAAAATTAAAATATTAAGACTTTATTATAAAAATCTTATTACTAGATATTCTAGAAAAACTAAGATATATAAATTAATATTATATAAATATTTCTAGTCTAGGATTTATAAGTATATTAATTAATAAATCTAGAATTATTATCTTTACTATTAAATTATTTCTTTTTAAGAAGTAAAGTAAGAAGTATTAAGATTCCTATTAATTTCTAAATATATCTAATAAGATATAAGTATAGACTTTATTATATATTTATTATTAAGTAATAGCTATAATATTATTCTAGTTATAATTAATTATTTAATAAAAATAAAGTACTTCTTTTCTTATACTAGAATAATTAATATTAAAAGAGTAATTAATCTATATCTTAAATATATTTAAAAATTTTATAATATTCCTAAAATAATTATATTAGATTATAAAGTCTAGTTTATTATTATCTTCTAGAAATACCTAATATCCTACTTAAAAATTTATAACTTATTATTTATTACTTATTACTCTAAAATTAATAGCTAAACTAAATATACTAATATTATCTTAAGATAATACTTATAAATATATATATTATACTTATAAGATAATTAGTCTAAATAATTATTAATAGCTAAATTTATTACTAACTTTATCTATTTTAAGTCTCTAGAAATATTACTATTTATAGCTAATTATAGATTCTACCTAATATTAAGATTTAAATTAAACTACCTTATTATCTATTTTATTAAAAAAGATATTAAGAAGTTTACTAATATTATATATAAGATTTATAAATTTATTTATATTAAAATCTTATCTACTTAAGCCTATTATAAAGTATAAGCTAATTACTAAAGATAATCTATATATTACTATATTATAGGATAAGAAGTCTAGCTAGATACTTATAATATTTAAATACTCTACTTATAAAAGAAATTAGATTAGAAAAATTTTAAATTATATTATATTAAGAAAATTATTAGCTTATATATTTATAAATTTAAATTATTTAAAAATATAAAAATTTATTTTATATTTAATATATTTTTACTCTATTCTATTATTAATAATTCTCTATCTAGTTAATATTCTAATCTACTACTACTTATTAAAGTAAAAGAATTAGAAAAATA